TGACTCGTCAAAATGTGTGCCCTTTTGTGGCAAATCTAGTGTGTTCTCATCACCCTCTCTCATTCGATCGGGCCTCCATTCCGGTTCCTTTCCTTATCTTTTTGGTTGACCGATTTCACTCAATCTGGTCTACAAACAGCAGAAACTCTTCCAGTTTTTCTCTTCCATGTGACCAAACTGGGAAGCAATCATCCTAGTACCTCATGAGCACTGCCTGTTGTATCGGTGCCATCTTGAAGTTCTCTTCTATTTTGTTCATATATACGTTTGCCAAAAGTGGTGTCAGCGGTGATCCCATGGGAAGTCAAAATATTTGTTCATATATGTTCCCATTGAATGTAAAATAGGTTGTCCTTATTGCCAAGTTGATTAACCTTGTTAACGACTCCCTACCGATCCGTGTTGATTCCATGATATCCTCATCTCCATCCAGGATTTCCAGCAGGGCCGTTAGTGCATTTTCTCCAGAGATATTTGTATACATCGATTCCACATCGAGACTTACCAATAAGTCCGCTTCTTCCTGTGCCATACTAGAGGCCACAACATCTTGGTCTTCATATATCCTTAAACTGCCGCCAAAAAGCAAGATAATTATCTACATATCTAACTCAAATGTCTGATGTTTTCTTCAATTAAGTTTTCCTCAATTTTTGGCATGTAATTATTGGTTAGTGCAAGCCTATGCATCTGTTTGTAAAAATTAACTTTTGAAGATTAAATGTGTACGGATAATGAAGAGATTACTCTTTACGATTGAGTTTTTTCTTAGGTCTGTTCCCTGCATAACCTCAGGATTCTCCACTATACCGATTGCTAGGGCCTTATCAGCGCCCTGAGCTGGAATGCTGGCACAAAACTCGTTGTTGAAGCCTACTAAAAATTCACCCTCAGGTGTCATTTGCTGATCTCACAATTTCACTATTCACTATGCTTTTTTTTCAAATGAATATATCAAATAGTCAAATAGGGCCTGAAATCTTAGACATTACACTCAGTTATTGGAAATAATACCTTTGGATGAACGTAAGCCACTATGATGGAGATGTTTGTCGTCCCATTCGCCAAAGGGTTGTTGAATACAAAAGTGCCTCTAAGGGACTTTGGGTTCGACGATCGAAGTTGACCGAATACACGGCAGAAATTTGACATAAGATAGAATGGTCTCAAACGTATCGTCTGTCTGAGGATTTTGTGCCTTGTGTTCGGTGCAAAATTAGGGATGCCACCGATGCCAACAGATTAGGACATACATTCTATATCAAGAAAAGAGGTAAGAAGGTGATAGCAACTACTTGGGCCCAAATAAAGGACTCAAGAAGGAGAAGCACAGTGGGCTTACCTAGTCTTTCTAGTCCTGTTTCCTATTACCCTCACACACTCAAAATATCTGAGCCCAGAAAATGAGCCCATCATTTTAGCCAGAAGTCTGTCTGCCATCACGCAATAGGAGAATTTGTTAAAATAACTTTTGAAATCACCATTAAACTTTTTTGACCAAAAACAAATCTTGCCCTCTGTTAGAATTACTTCTAATCACCCTTGAGCGTACAATCAAACACAAGCGTGCATACTTACATGTCCCCAGATTCATAGTTGAAATTAACCGATCAAGCCATTATACTTTATAAAAATGCATATAGCGTGTATTTCTGCCATATAAAAAATGAAAGCTGTCTTTTTGCACCGAAACCGAAATAGCAAGTCTCTAGTGCTCTAGTCAAATGGCAAAGCAACTGGCCAACAGAAATATGCCTTCGCCGCTTTCACTCGAGGTGGGAGTGAATCAGTGCACTCATCAAGAAACAACTATTCCGCAATGATGTGAAAATTTAGTTGATTTTTTCACTATTAATAGAGCAACTCATGGCCTATTAGAAAGCAAATCTTTCGTGTCCTGTCTTTTTGAACATCCACGGCCATCCTACCTATTTTTGGAATAAGGACACTGAAAGAGATTCGGTTTGCTTGAATAGCATAAATGAAATGAAGATCTTAATAGAAAAATCTTAAGGCCCTGTGCGAGCTAAATTTAGCCTTACCAACCAAGTGAACGTGGCTCCCTAACTAGAAAGTCATCCTCCCGGTAAAAAGGAGGTATTATGCATGACAACATGCAAATAAATTCTACGATAAATATGGCCCAGAAACAAGCCTTGTTTAGCCATGCCTCTGAGGCAAGACACGTGACATGTGCACTCTTTATTTTTGTCTTTAAAGCAGAAGAGTTAGTGAAAAGTTAATAAAAATCCCTTGAAAGTGTCTTTTAGTGCAGCCCCTCCTCTACACTCAGCCATGGAGGAAGTACAGACGAGATAGGTAAGATTTCACAAATCAGGCTTCACTTTGGCAAAGGTTTCGATGGGCAACGCGTGAATGGACACATACGATGTCTTCCGAAATGGTATCCTCAAACGTCGTAAACGATCTAGGTCCACCCGCTGGACGCCAGATTGTCGCACAAGTGTTGCCGAAGTGGCCTTGTTGGCCTAAACCAGGGCAACATTTTGAGGCCTCACATTTCTGCGTTTTGTCTGGGACTTCTCAACGCAGTGCTCAACGAGGCTTGTGGGGAAGGGGGGCTATATGCGTCGGCGGCCCCACTTGCCTCCGCCTCAATCGTGTTCGTCCTCATAGTTGGGTGGCAGATCGGCACTTGTCTTCTCACGTCCGTCCCCTGTTTGCACTAGACCCTTCCATAGGCCAGATATCTAAAGACCGATGATTCGTTGCCCATCTGCTTTGATCCAGCTTTCAGCCCCATGCTTCCGCCCGATGTCCGCCCAATTGACAGACCAGGTAACCAAGCGACCCTTTGCGTATCCTGCTTTTGTCCAGCTAATCCGTCTCTCCTGCCGTCCGGTTAATCCGGCATCAAATGCACTAGAAAGGTCTGCTTTTTTTCAATACTCTAGTCTGGCTTTTTGCAAAAGCAATTGAGCAGCAAAGGCAATCAGAGAAGATAAGCGCGTGGGATCGCATACCAACTATGTGTCCCATAAATAGCCATTCTCTCGGTACATCCACCTCGTCTACGATGCTACCCAGTCTACTCTTGTTATGCACAGAAGGCAATATTCACATATCTTAGGATCTGAATAGCCTAGGCCTCTACTCCAATTGCAAGTCAGTCTCACGTCAGTAAATAGTCCCTTCTAGCCGAGATATACTTGGCAGAAATCTTTGACGAACGGGCTCGTATTAAAAATGTATACGAACCAGATGGCTCAGATGCCAGCATGGCGATGCAGCTGGGAAAAGCATTTTTCCTTCGTGAACATCCTAAATGGACCCAAATAAGGCATTGGTATTACCGTTAAAGGACCATCATCCAAGGTGGTGCTGTGTTTTTGTGTAAGCTTGCAAATCCAATGAATCGTGTGCAAGTCTGGACGGCTTGAAGGACCGTCTCAACCGATGGAGCAAACGCTGGTTAAAGTAGAACCAAAGCAGACAATGGTAAAATAATTGTGGTCTTTAAGAAATCCCTTTTATAGGTCAGAAAAAGTAAAGAAAATCATCCGAAATCACTAAGGTCACGTAGGACAGACAACAAACACAAGAACGCATTCTAGATCGCTTAAGGCGATGAGGGACTGATAGTTGAATTATCCCGCAATGAAAATAGTAGGCCCCACAATGCCATCACAGACCACTTAGCCTTGCCTCCCAGAAGGTTTTCTTATTCAGGTTGGAATTTAATTTCAATTTCGCCTGAGTCTAATCAGCGTTTATTCACGACGTGATCTTCAAGACGAGCCAGGCCTCCAGATCTAATGATGATCTCGACAGACTACTCCATTAGAATACAAGTAATATAATCGATTGTAATGAAGAAAAAAAACACAAATGTGCTTTTTGCCAATCCTACTACAAATTTGACGTTGGATAGGCCTGGACAGTCTAGCAATTCGTATCCACCCTCTGACCCACTTGTAACTTTAATGGAATGTCATATTGGAAACACGTCGAAATTACACACTGCACCATCCGAGTTCTAGTCATGTTGGGGTGGTGATGAGACCCAGGCAAAATCGAAACTGCAGTCCATCCTGGACGAGACAGGGCTAAGTTACATTAACTAGTATATTGAGGCCTTATTATGTTATAGTCAGAAATGTCTGCTGTGTTGAGAAGTTTAAGTTTCTTGCAAAAAGTGTGATTCCATCTCAAGCCACTTGGACCCTAAGCTACCATACTTTATTAGGATTAATTATGAACTAATAAGAATCCACTATGATGGAGACCATTTACTACAACGTAATTAATATTAATATTATAGTATGTTAATAAAGGTTTAATTTCTTTGAAAATATTTTGTCAATTTTTAGACAATTATGCAAAACTAGATTTGACTTGAGGCAATCAATTCCTCAATTATTTATTACCAAGAAATTATTTGAAAATAATAAAAAGTTAGGGTACCTTCACCCATCGCCCAGATGGAGTATAAAATAAAATTGCCTCTGGTTGCGTAGGTGGGCCTCAGGCCCTAAATTCTGGCTTTCGAACATAAACTATTGTTTTCAAGCAATCAAATCTGAGAACGTTGCACCTTTTATTAACTACTACAGAAGAAGTTGGTATATGGCAGAG